GGGGTGTGGGGGGGAGCAAGACGAGCGCCCTGCTCCCCCCCACACGCGGACCCTAAAATGAAAGAGTATTTTTAAAAAGAAAAGCACGAGTGCACTGGGAGGCTGCAGCCCAAGGCCGGGAAGCGCGGGCGGAGGGAAGCCAGGTAGAGTTGCTCCCGGACACCCTCCTCCGTGCGCACACCCACTTCCCCTCCCCGCCGCCGCGCTCGTTCCCCGCGTGCGGACGCCCGGGGCCGAAGTGAAAGCCCGAGCCCGCGGCTGCGCTCGGGAAACTTTGCCAGAAGAGAAGATAGCAAAGAAAAATCACCCGAAGTTGAGAGCTGAGCCTCCAAGTTACAGCTCTGCAGCGGGCGAGGGGAGGCGGGAGGGAGTGCGCGGCGAAGTAGAATCCAGCCCAAGTTTGGAGGGTTGCGGGTCCGGAAGGGCAGTGTCGGGGCCTCCCGGAGCCCGGCGGCCTGGAGGGAGGGGGCTGGAGGCAGGGAAGCGGCGCCGGCCAGGGCCCGAGGGCCAGGAGGGTACCCCCAAGACCGAGCCCGGGACCGGGGAGCTGAGCGCCTTGACTAGCGACTAGGTCTGAATGCAACTGGAAGCACCGAGTCCCTGACTCCCAAGGGTCGCAGAGGGAGAGAGAAGCAAGGAATAAAGAACGAGGAGCCAGAGTCCGGGAGCGTTCAGGCCCCGAGAGGGGAGCGCCCGGAGACTGGGCGAGAGGCGCCTAGGCGTCCACCTCTTCCAGTGGACGAGGGCCGCAGGACAAAGCGCTGGTAGTCTCGGGAGTCCCAATCCCTGAGAACGTGCTCCCAGCACCGCTGGGGGTCCCTGACCCAGTCCCAGGGAGGGACACACCCCCTCCCACCCCACAGCAACTGCAAAAACACAGAGATGGAAAGAAAATGTTTCTTATGGGCAGAGCCCAACTGTTCGTGTCCTGTTACTCAGGGAAAGAAAATTGGGAATAGAGAGAGCGACTTGGCTCGCTGGAGCAGCGTGAGGCCACTGTGGTGAGGTGACCGCTCCAGGTCAGCGCCGCGCTCCTTTGGTCACCCCCGGCCTAGGCGCACACCCGGAGCTCACGCATGCCGGCGCCCGCACCCTTCTCTCTCCTTTCTGTAGCGTTCCCTGGAATTTAGGGAAGACCTGTTGGAAATAAACCCCTGTCTCTTTAATGCACACACGCACACACACGCGCGCTGCCGCTGTCAAAAAGCGGGCTTCACTCTGGCGTGGGATACTTTCAGTTTTACGTAAAATGTACAGCAACAGCACCCCCTGCGATTGGAAAGTTTATTCAGAAACGTGCCTGCAAAGTCCCCCGGCGTCTCCCGCCTCCCAGCCTCCCTGCCTGCCTGCACCGCCCTGCAGCCGCCGCCGCCGCCAACGGAAACGTGGGGAGTGCAGGGTGGAGACGGGTGGCCGCTGTCCGCGAGACCCTGAGCTGCAGGTGGACGTGTGTGAGTGTGTGTGTAGAGCGAGAAGCCTTCTTTCCCTCTCCTCTGAGCAGCCCCACAACCCCTCCTGTCTTCGCATCCCCCTGCTCAAAGGGGTCTCCTTTCGGTAACTGTCCCCACCCGGCAGGGGGCTTTATTGTTTTAAGCGAGAGCCGGGGGCTTGCAGACGCGTTCACCCACCTCCCAGCCTCGCAGGCAAGCGGCTGCTTATTCCTCTGTCGTCTTAGTAAAGTTTCAAACCTACTGGAAAATGACTGGCTTGCCTAGCTCGGCGAAGCTTCGGGCCCCTCTAAGGAAGAAAAGGAGATTTTAATGCTCAGCCTTAGGAGAGATGTGGGCTGGACTGGGTTGGTGTGAATGTGGGTGGTGGTGGTTACTGTTTCCCTCCAGTTTAGGGGGGTGGGGGTGGGGGACCTCAAATTCTATTGAAGAAGCAGTTAGATTCCCTTGCAGTAAAGCTCCATAGCCTGTGCACACACCATTTCCCCTTTCCATTGAGTTCTTCAGAGCAGGTCAGCAACTCTCTTCCACTACTGTCTGTTTTTGGTTTGGTTTGGTTTTTCTCATTTTAAACCAGCTAGGGGCCACCAAATAAATGTCTTGGGGGCGTGGGGGAAGGCTGGACTAAGTGAGGGGTAGTTAGAGTGAAGTTGAGGAGAGGGAAGAAAAAAGTGCAGCTGGCAGGCCTTTGAAAAATAAATACTATATCAATAAAAGCTTTTCAGGTAACAATAGTGAGTCAGATTATTTTGAAACCAGCCTTTTCAGATTTGAATATTGTTCCCATCCATCTATAAAAGTCCATATACAGAGAAGATATATAAATGAGCGACTATATCAAAGAAATATATATGTATGTGCGTGTGTGTGTGTGTGATTTATATATAATGGTGTGTATAAAGCCTTTCAGGGTTGGCTGTAGTGTAAAAAGTAATGACTTTATTACCTCTGAAAGGTTCTGTGGTTCACATTTAACAGTCTTCTGAATTACAATTCATTACACAATTGTGTGCTCTCTAAAACCGGCACCCTGTCAGGGCCGCTATCTGTGGTTATTTCCAATAAATAACTGGCAACATTTTATTGATTTTCTTTTTTAAAAAATCATAGGAAATTAAGCACTTAGTTACAAGTAGGTCTGCTATGTTATTGCACTTATTTCAGATTCCGGGGGGTTCCTTCCGAAACCACATCTTAAAACATACATTAAAAAGCCAGTTTTGCAGCTGCTTTCCCTGGGTGCCAATGGCGAGGTGAGCAGCGACGTTTTCACCATTAACATATATTTAATTTTACCATCATAAAATGCCCAGAGTGAAACGGGAACTGCCCTCCGCCCCGCCCCTCCCCCAGCCAGATTTCACCCAGTCCGGAAAGCCAGGGTTGTGTATCGGCATTTGATCCCGCCTAGTCGCGGGCCCCCTCCCCATCCTTCACGCTTTCTGCTACGGGTGACGCCCCCCCTCGGTGCTGGATGCTCGCTAAAGTGCCCCAAAGTGGGGGAGGGGGAGTTGAATGTGTGTGTAAAGAAATAAAAACGTGTTGTTTTAAGAGGCTTAAAAATATTACATAAGTATTGATTAATGATGCAGGTGGTTTTGTAGAGGGAGGTGAAAGGTCACTTTAAACGCGCACACTTGGATACATAATAAGTATATTTACCTTTCCAGAAGTGGCTTTTAGAAAGTAATAAATTTATGACAACGTTAAAATTATTTTCTGGCCGTTCTGGTAACTTCGTTTGGAGCTGTGGAACCTTTGCTGCTTCCATTGAGAGGGTAATTACGGTCCGCGGGCTCTTTCTCAAACCTTGGGTGACGACACTGCGTGCAAACTCCAGGCCAACTAACGACCCTACCCCTCCTCTCCTCCCCCTTTTTATCTTGCCCGCGGAGGAGCCTCCCCAGGACTTCCTGCAGTATATATTCTGCCTCTGATCTCCGTACTTAATAGCCAAGTCCTGGTTTATGCTTTATAATGTGTTGACAAGTTTTCTAACAGACTTTCTGAAATAATGCACATATATTCACGTCGGTTAGAAACCCACCGTATTTTTAGAGTCGAGTAGATCTATACCCTAATGCAGTGAGAGAGTGTAAATCATAGAGGATTTCATAGTCCTTTCAGTAGTTTTCGGTATGAAGTATGAGCCGTGTGGCCTCCAGACGTAACCTTTTAGAAAAAAAGACAGTGCTTTTATTTTATGGTGTAAAGTGCTTTTAGCTCCGGGGCTCTGAACGTGAATGTGGTCAACAAACAGCTCGGAGAGGGAGACTTAATACAGTCCCAGCCCTTATGCCGAGGATCGCCTGGCGCGGGGAACTTGGGCTGAGCTGGAGAACGAAGGGTTAAAAGGTCTGTCTCGTTGGAAACTACAAGATTAAAATAAAATATTCACTGTCTGCCTTTAGGGGGAAACACCTTTACAGACTTAAAGATAAATATATAAATGACTGAATGAATGATTAAAAATACAATCACTCCCACCTTGCTTTTTCCTTCATTTTTTTCTCTTTTTTTAGTCTTTTCTTTTTTCTTTTTTTCCTTGTTCCTCATCGGCATATTAGAAAACAGACAATGAGCAATCATCTTCCAAAAAATAAAACTTAGGTTTGGGTTCTACACTTTTTTCCCCCATCTGGGGCTCTTGAGGTGGGAATGCTAGTCTGTGGTTAAAACAAAGGGATAATGAAGAAAAAAGGGCAGGGGGTTGTGCTTGAGGACAGGGGAAGGCTTTTTCCTCTCTTCTCCAGTGTGACCCAGAGCTTGGGACCTAAAGAGGTCCATGGAGGGACGTGTCTACACCTTCTGCGAAGACACATTCTTCCCCAAGTGGCACCTTTCTGGAGGCTCTCTGGCCTTTGGCTACCTCGCAGAGTGCTTCATATACCTAGATGGACCTATCCCAAAAAAGAAAGAAAGAAAAAAGAAAATGAAAAAAAAGGAAGAAAAGAAGAGAGAAAGGGAGGGAGGGAATGAAGGAGCTGCCTCTCCCCTAAGTGCATC